GAGCTGCAGAGCCTGGTCTTACACTGACACCGCTGCCCAGCGTGCGGCCGGCGGGCAGCTTGCCAGCGCACGCGGCACCCCGAGCCCCAGCAGGATTTAGGGTCTGGCTGGGGCAGGCAGACGGGATTGAGGCCCGGACCCAGCAGGACCGTGTTCTCCAGCTGCTGCAAAAACCGGCTGGTCTCAGGAGTCCGTGTCCCCTGGGGAAGTCGCAGACTATGTGTCTCCGAGTTTGCCACAGACACTGTTGGTTTAGCGAGCCAGTCTCTGTTTTGATTTCAGGGATAACTTGGGCTTTGTTGCTTTGTGGAGAGGAAGGGGAAAAAAAAAAGCTGAGAGCCCGTTCTCATCGGCCCCTGACACAAACGCTGGAGCTGCTGGTTTGAGCTCCATCAGAGAGACAGAAAGGCATCGAAAACATTGGCAGAGCTGGAAAACATTTGGCTGCCGTTCTGCATTCCCTCTTCCGTCTGTGTCTGCAGGGATAAAAGCGAGCCTGGCTCCCAGCGCTCCTGCTTCGCAGGGCGATCACGCTATTTTGTGCAAAGCCTGCAAGGGTGCAGCGGCACAGCCCTCTGCAGCACGCCAGGCCGTGCCGGCCCCCTCGCCGCATCGCGCGCGGGGCAGCCGGCTTCATGCCCCCAGGCACATCGTCTGGGGCCACGGGCGCCGGAGGAGCTAAAAAAGCCAGGGGGAGAGCAGAACTGTGAAATGACTCTTAATTTGTATTGCGGCAGTAGCCAGGTACCTCGTACACGGAGGAATGGGACCACACGGTGGTAGGTGCGGTACAGGCACACAGCGAGCTGGCGTTTCAAAAAGCGGGGAGCTCTGAACGGATTTGGCCGCTTTCGCCTTAGAATCGGCGCCGTTTGCAGCCCTAGCCCAGGCCACGCAGCCCTTCTGCTGCCGTGCTGCCTGCGTGGACCCGACCTCCTGCCGCCATGCCGCCGAGGGAGCCCTTTCCCCCTCTACACCCAGCCGTGCACCCTGCAGCCATCCCCTCTGCTCGTCCCTGGGCTCGCGGCGCCCCGGGGACACATTGCACTGGCGAGCGGGGCTGGGAGCTTTAAATAAATACCTGAGAAGAGATTGCCCTTTGGTTTTTTAAAGTAAAACCTGCTTCATTGCTCTGATTATTTTGCTGCAGACCTATAGGATGGGGAAACCACCGCTCACCCGAGGAGGCGGATTACAGGAGAGCTGGGTGCGAGGGAAGCTGAGCTCAAGGAAGTAAAACCTGACCTGCAGGCAGGACCCACGGTTATTCACCTGGTTTTGCGTTTGAGGAGAGAGACAGCCTGGCTCTCACTGGCAGGAGCAATTCCTGCTCTTACGAGCTGCCTCTTCAGGTCATTGAAAGTCAGGAGCCCAGTATTATCGCTGAGATTATTATTAACAACCCAGACAAAGCCTGTTGTACAGGTGGTTTTCCTTTTGACAGCATCTTCTGAAACGCTCACTGGCAGCAGCTGGTGTGGCATCCCTCAGTGGTACAGACCGGGGTGGGACGGAGGCTTTGCCGCCCTCCCGCTCCCTCTCTCCCGGGGCTGGCAAGGCCCTCAGGGCTGCTCTTAATTTCACTTCAGTCCTCATTGCTGGCAGGGGCCCCGAGGAGCAGAAAATAGCTGCACAGCGGTTCGCTCTGGTCTGGGTGCTGCCTTGCCTGGCGAGAGCGAAAGAGCAGCCTTATACCGGTGCTTGAGCAAGCCAGGAGGCAGGCTCCCTGGGGCAGGCTCCTGCGTGGGGCGTTTCTGGCCCTGTTTCTTCACGGGGGCAGCGCTCAGGGCCAGCAGAGCAGCTCCCAGCGGGCCGAGAGCGATGCTCCCCGAGCCCCCGCCGCGGCCTGGGAGCCTGCTCTCTCCCCCATGGGAGGGCTGCGCTGCGGCGTGCCAGGGCCCCCCATATTTGGTCAGTGACACAGCGTTTTAGCTGCTTTGATGGGCACTGACGGGGATCGAGACAGGCACCGGCTGAGCCTCGGGGCCAGCCGGGGCGGCAGCTGCAGCCATCGGTCGCGCACGCCATCCCTGGCCGGGGAGCGCCAGACCGGGGGGACGCAGGTGCCGGCACACGCACAGTGAGCCTCCAAGAGCCCGTCGCCCTCAGCCTTTCCTCCCAGAGGTTCCTGCCTGCCGCAGGCTCCCTGCAGGGGAGAAGGACCCTGGCTGTGCTGGAGCGGGCAGGGACGATGGCAGGGCTCCCTTGGGCTGCCCTCCAAGTCCCCCTTGGTGCCATTTCGACAGCCACGCGCAGCGGGAGCTGCCCGCTGCTCCGCTCAGCGCCTCAGGAGCAGCTCAGGCGCCATCCATGCTCTCCACTGCACAGTGACTTGGCCAGAAGCAATATGAATCTGAGGCAAAGAAGAGAAGGTCAGAGTCAGATTTATTCCTCTTTCGTCCTGAGAGCTGTGGGCACTTCTGCAGAGAGGCACGCACCTTCCATCTCCAGCACTGTCCGCAGCGGTCGGCGGCCGGCCCGGGAGTGAGGCACCAGGAGCACCCCTTCCCTCTTCCCGGCACCCTGGAAGAGCAGCTCCTTCCAGGCTGGAGCACAGCAGCTGTTTCAGTCTGCAGCGATGCAGCCTGGCTGTCTCGCCTAAGAGTGACCCTTGCGATCTGGGATGGGCAAAGAGCACCACCCTGCACGGTGCTCAGCGGGCACTTGACCTAGGAGAAAACTTACATGACAGTTCCCCACACTAACATTTCAGTTCCCCTCTTTTTTCAATTCCAAGCCCCTTTTTCCAACCAGCAGCCTTCAGAAGCAGGAGTCTGGCACGGGCACCTCTCCGGTCTCACGCCTCTGCTAAGCACTGGTGGTGAGAAATAGGGGTCTGGCACTGAGACATCCCCCCCACCCCCTGCTCCAGCCCAGCTCTGGGACTTTTAGGATTCTTCTTTCTCTTTCTCTTCCTTGGACTGTTCCTCCTTGGGCTGTTCCTCCTTGGGCTGTTCTTCCTTGCCCTCCGGCTGCTTCTGGTGGGTTATCTTCACCTCGTTGACTCTGGCCTTCACCTCCTTCCCGGTCCGAGGAGCCACAATACTTAAGATGCCGTCATGGGACAAGGTGGCTCTCACCAGCAAGGGGTCGACATCCAGCGGGAGGATGTAGGTCCTGGTGAACTCTCGGGAGATGAAGCCGTGACGGTCAGACTTTTGCGGGTGCTGCCCCATCACCTCCAGCAGGTTGTCCACGGTGCGGACAGTGAGCTCATCCGGCAAGAAGTGACAGACATCCAGGAACACCTGGAATTTGTGGTCGTTGAGGCTGATCTCGGAGGTGCCTCGATCCAGCTGCTTGTTGATCCGAGGCCTGATGTAGTAGCCATGATACAGGGCAGGAGCTAAAATCTCACATGGGGACACACCTGAAAGTGAGACCCAGTGAGGAGCATGGGGTTCCCAGGGGAAGGAGTGGGAGGAGGATGGTTGGCAGCAGATGTGATGGGGACAGGAGGAGGCTGGGATGTGGCAAACAGGTTCCTTGGTTTTGCAGCTGCATCAGCTGCACAAAAGGGAGCGAATCTCCAGCTGTTCCTGCCTTTGTGTCTCCAAAGCACATGCTTGGGGCCAGCCGCCAGCCGGCCACCACCTCCCGCCAGGCAGCCAAGGGCTGGTGGCCAGCTCTCGGGTGTTTGCCGGCCGGGCAGGGAGGGACTGGTAGGTGCGCTGGGTGCTCTGCGGAGCCAGGCGCAGGGCTGGGCACGGAAAACGCTGACGGTGAAGAAATTGGGCCGAGGAACTAAAGCCCTTTTGTGTGCCATTGTCTGGGGGGCTTTTCTTGGGGCTTTTTGCCTTTTCACGCTGTTGTGCGGGTGCTGAATGGTTCTGCTGCTGCCCACATTCCTTCCCCGCTGCCAGCCGCTGCCGGGCTTTGTGCTCAACACCCCAGCTCAGCTTTTCTCCACTGCCCCCGGCTGCAAAAACCCCTCCCTGCACTAGCACTTTCCAAAAGGGCCTAATTTTCATCCCTGCCCCTGGCACTGTGGCAGTGGCCCTTCTGCTCAGGAGCTCTGCCCGGCGGCTGCTCACAGCAGCTGGGGCAGGGAGGTGGGCAGGTGGGGGGTCTCCGCTCAGCCATCCCTTATTAGCGAAGGAGAGCATGGAGGCAGGTCCTGCGCAGCCTTGTGACCGTACGGCCTTCTGCTGGGGTTAGCGTGGGGCACGAGGCACCCGGGGGCTGCCGGGGGACGGCAGCCCGACATGTAGAAGGGTTGCAGCAGGGCGTTTCGCTCCGTGTTTGCACAGCATGCGCACGAAGGCCAGCAAGGTGGGGGTGTGAGGGAGGGGAGGAGAGGAACGAGGCAGGGATGGAGGGAAGCGAACCGGCAGAGGCACTCTCCAGATGTGCCCCCTGATCTGACCTGGGTTCCTGCGCTCCGCAGCTCCCTTGGCTCCAGCCTCGCTGGCCCGCTCTGGAGGTGAATCCCTCCAGAGGGACTCTGCCGGCTCTCCTGCCTCGGAGGACGGAAAGGTGCCGGGAAGACGCCGGCTTCCTCCTTACCTTCCCCGAAGTTCTGGTCGTAGATCTTGCTGGGGCTGGCAAACTCGTACTCCGAACTCATGGGGTAGGCGTGGGGGACGGTCCGTGCAGCCATGGTGCCTCCGGGACGGGGACCTTGCGAGCGCTCGCTGCCGCTGAGAGTGAAGGCTGCAGATTGCAAGGCTTTAATGGGGTGAATTCCACAGGGAGGAGTGTGTGATAAAAAGACGGACCAAAATAGCCGCGCACACAGGCCCAGAGACGCCTCGCCAGGGTGACGAGGGAAGCTCCTT